CCATTCCCTCGGCTCCGTTTTGTCCCCGTTCCCATTCCCTCCAGTTCCCGTTTACCCTCCCGTTGCCCGCGGTTCCCTTTTTACCCCGGCTCCCGTTCCCCCCAGCTCCCGTTCCCCCTGGCTCCCGTTTGGCTCCGGCTCTCATTCCCCCGGGTTCCCATTTACCCCCAGTTCCCGTTTACCCCCAGCTCCCATTCCCCCTGGCTCCCCTTTTGCCCCCGTTCCCATTCCCTCCAGTTCCTGTTTACTCCCAGCTCCCATTCCCCCCGATTCCCGTTTTGCCTGGGCTCTCGTTCCTTGTGGTTCCCATTTACCCTCAGTTCCCGTTTGCCCCAGCTCCCGTTGCCCCCGGTTCCCTTTTTACCCCAGCTCCCATTCCCCCTGGCTCCTGTTCCCCCCAGTTCCCGTTTACCCCTGGCTCCTGTTCCCCCTGGCTCCCATTTTGCCCCCATTCCCATTCTGCCTGGTTCCTGTTTTGCCCTGGCTCCCATTCCCCCCCAGTTCCCATTTACCCCCGGCTCCCGTGTCTGTACTGTCTCTCTCCAGCCGTCTGTCTGTCTGTCTGCTCCTCACACCCCTGTGCTGCCACCTCCCCATCCCGAATGCTCTCCTCTCCTGTCACGTCACCCCCTGTCCCGTCACCCTCTCTCCTGTCACCCTCTCCCCATCACCCCTGGTGATGCCCAAGTCACACCGCGGGGCTCAGACGACCACCTGGAGCAGGTTGGCTTCATGCCCTGAGCTCAGCCATGAAGGTTAAGGCCACCAGGTCCCCCCCTTTGCTGGCACAAGGTCCCCCCAGCAGCATTCCAGAGGGTGGCTCACGCTGGCTCCAAGGAGCATCCTGGTGTGGGAACACCTCCCCGGGCCATCGTGTGTGTGTGTGTGTGTGTCCCCACCGTGCTTGTCGTGGTGTTTTGCCAACCAGAGGACCAGCGGGGTGCAGAAGGACAGGCTCATCCCGACGTGCGGCTCCGGGTGTCCCGGTCGGACCGGAGCAGCAGGTCGGGATGGAGGGAACAGTCTGATGCTGCTCCACGCGGTGTCTCCCTTGGTGGCAAAGAGGAACCCCCCAAGTCCCAGGAGATAGGACAAGAGGAAATGGCCTCAGGTTGCACCAGGGGAGGTTTAGATTGGATCTTAGGAGACATTTCTTCACGGAAAGGGTTATACAGCATTGGAATGGGCTGCCCAGGGAAGGGGTTGAGGCACCATCCCTGGAGGTGTTCAGAAGACAGGCTGACATGGTCCTCAGAAATATGGTTTAGTGGTTTGTTTTTTTCTTATTTATTTATTTTGTCAGAGTGAGGTTGATGGTTGGACTAGATGATCTTTAAGGTCCCTTCCAACCCAGACCATTCTATGATTCTGTGATTCTATGATGCTAAAACTGCAGTGGGTACAGCCACAAAGCTCACACCATAGAATGGTTTGGGTTGGAAGGGACCTTAAAGACCATCCAGTGCCACCCCCTGCCCTGGGCAGGGACACCTCCCACCAGACCAGGTTGCTCCAAGGCCCCTCCAACCTGGCCTTGAACCCCTCCAGGGATGGGGCAGCCACAGCTTCTCTGGGCAGCCTGTTCCAGGCTCTCACCACCCTCAGCGTAAAAAAAACCCCAATCTCTTGCGTGTGTTGTCCGTGAGCAGAGGCAGGATAATTTTGAAGAGCTTTATTTGCATGTGTGATTACCTGCAAGGTGCTGAGGAGGAGCTTGGGTGCAGCTTTCCCTCCCCAGGTGCCTGCTGAATCACTGCTGCGTGGGCTGGTGGGTGAGGACAAGGACCACGTCCTTCCCACCCATGTCCCCGGGGGCCCATCGGGTCCGAAATCCCCCTCTTGCAAAGATACAAGAGATTCTTAGGACTTCCCCTCTTGCACCATCGCATCTCGCCCAGCAAGATGCCATCTCTGCCGAAATCAGGCCACAGGAGAGGAGCGAGGGGCCACTGGCCCAAGGGCTACCATTTTGGCTTCATGGCCACACTGGGTGCCCAAAAACACGTGGCTTCACCCTAAACTGGGAGCCCTGGTGCAGCAAGGGGATCTTCTGCCCGTTCCTTCTGCTCCCCTGGCCCGGAAAGAGTTACCTCCTCCTTGCGGGTGAAGCCCACAAAGGAGAAATAGCTTAATTTAAAGGCTAATTATCATTAAGCTGTTGCCAAAGGAGGCTTGAAAGTGTGAGCCAATTATACCTGCTAATGTGCTCTGGGTAACGAGCGGCCGCCGGGTGTAATGAGAGCCCGTCTCTGGCGTGGACACCCGGTCATTGGATGGTATTTCTGGCCGAGGCTGGTCTCCTCGGCCACATCTGCTGGTGTCAGTAACGGTGGGGACAGTGTGGCAGAGGAGAGGGCACAAGCCCCATAGACACTACCTGGAGAGCTTCACCGAAGGGAGGAGGGAAAAAAAATCCCCAAAACCCACCCAAATTCCATTTTTTGTGGTAAAACACAGAATCACAGAATCCCATGGGTTGGAAGGGACCTCTGGAGATCATCATCTCCAACCCCCTGCCAGAGCAGGGTCACCCACAGCAGGTTGCACAGGAATGTGTCCAGGTGGGGTTTGAGTGTCTTCAGAGAAGGAGACTCCAGCACCTCCCAGGGCAGCCTCTGCCAGGGCTCTGCCACCCTCAAAGAGAAAAAGTTCCTCCTCATGTTTAGGTGGAACTTACTATACTCAAGTTTGTGCCCGTTCCCTCTTGTCCTGTCCCTGGGCACCACTGAAAAAAGCCTGTCCCCATCCTCCTGACACCCACCCTTTCAGTATTTATAGGTGTTGATCAGATCCCCCCTCAGCCTTCTCTTCTCCAGACTGAACAGACCCAAGTCCCTCAGCCTCTCCTTGTAAGGGAGATGCTACAGGCCCCTCATCATCTCTGTAGCCCTCTGCTGTCCCCTCTCCAGCAGTTCCCTGTCCTTCTTGAACTGGGGAGCCCAGAACTGGACCCAGTGCTCCAGATGGGGCCTCCCCAGGGCAGAGCAGAGGGGGAGGATGACCTTCCTCCACCTGCTGGTCACGTTCTTCTTGATGCCCCCCAAGATGCCACTGGCCTTCTTGGCCACCAGGGCCCATTGCTGGCTCATGGGCATCCTGTTGTCCACCAGGACTCCCAGGTCTTTCTCCTCAGGGGCAGACTTGGCAGCGGTGGTGTCAGATCTATAGGTGGGTTCCTTACACACGAGCAACACGTGCTGCTCCTGTTAGAGGGAGATAATGGAGGGGGTTTGATGTCTGGGGTGGTCCAGGCAGCCCCGGGAAGGGAGGGCATCCCCAGGGAGGCATCCCTGGACCTGGCACCCAGCATCAGGGGGTCACGCTTGTAGCAGTGGGTGCTTTGGTGTGTCCCAGTGATGGAGGAGACACCCCTGGGGGGCAGAGGAAAGCAGGGGGTGGCTGGTCTCTGACCTCTTCAGGCTTCACTTCAGGCTGCAGACGGCATCCTCCAGCCTCCCTCTGTCTCCCACGGACCTTCCCTACTCAAATCCAGGCTAACGAAGTCCCCAGCTCGTCTCTCTTTATTTTGGGGGCAAACTCTGGCTTTTTCTCACCAGCCCAGACACGGGAGCTGCTGCAGGAGGTGAAAATTGTCCTGTAGAAGTCCAGGGAGGAGCTGAGCCCCGTGAGCGTGACTGTGATTTTTTCAGAGCAAGTTCCTCTTCCCGTTTCAGAAATCAGGGAAGAAAAAAAACCAAATTGCATCATTTGGTAAAAACCCTGGCTGAGCATCGTCATTGTGATGGGTGGTGGGTGCCTGGACCCGCTGAAGGTGTGGGTTCCCCAGCTCCTGCTGGTGCCGTCACCCTGAAGCCTTTCCTTGGCCTTTCTTCCAGATGACCTTCTACTTCTCGGACACGGTGGTGCTGCTCTTTGACTTCTGGAGCGTCCACAGCCCCACAGGTAGGCTGTCACCTTCTCCTGGCCCCAGACACCCCTCTGTCCATCGGTCCATCCACCACCAGTTGTGTCCTCCACCTGGGGAAGAAGATGGAGGGGCAGGGAATGGAGCCCCCACATTTCTGGCAGGAGCGATGGGCTGGGAGGGGGGAGCAGAGCCCCCACCCAGCATCAATGGGGGGGTCAAGGCAGAGCTGTGATGGGCTCCCTCAGAGCCCAGAGGGCACTGCCTGATTTTTGCCACCCCACTCCTGCCCCACTGAGCTGTGCCGTGCCCTGGAAATGCCCAGGGTAGGGATGGATCCTCCCAAACCAAGAGCCTGAAGCATCCTCCCTTCTAGGCCTGACCCCAAAAGGTCACTCAGCGATGTCTCAGCTTCCCATTTTCTTTTTAGAAGCAAAGAATCATAGAATTGTCTAGGTTGGAAGGGACCTTAAAGGTCATCTAGTCCAACCATCAACCTAACTCTGACAAAAAAAAAAAAAAAAAAAAAAAAAAAATCACTAAACCATATTCCAGAGGACCTCAACGCGTCTTTTGAACACCTCCAGGGATGGGGCCTCAACCCCTTCCCTGGGCAGCCAATTCCAATGCTGGATAACCCTTGCTGTGAAGGAATTCTTCCTAATATCCAATCTAAACCTCCCCTGGTGCAACTTGAGACCATTTCCTTTTGTCCTATCTCCTGTGACTTGGGAGATGAGACCAACCCCCCTTCTCCACACCCCCCTTCAGGTAGTTACAGAGCGCAATTTTTAAATTAATATTTATTCAGTAGTATTTCAAAATGGTTTTTTTGGAGGCAATGCAAAAATGCTTTTTTTTTTTTTTCTTTTTTTTTCCACTAGAGGAACCCCCTCCCAAAAAAATACTTCCAAGGAATTTCGAGGGGATATTGGGCTAAACTGGAACAGGTTGTCCAGGGAAGCTGTGGCTGCCCCATCCCTGGAGGGGTTCAAGGCCAGGCTGGACGGGGCCTTGAGCAACCTGGTCTGGTGGGAGGTGTCCCTGCCCAGGGCAGGGGGGTTGGAACTCGGTGATCTTTAAGGTCCCTTCCAACCCAAACCATTCTATGATTCTAAATATTCCCACCACTTTCCAAACCTGCTGCCCAACCCTCATCCCCAGACCCCTCCCATCCCTCCACCTTATCCCATGGATATAGAATCATAGAATTTCCCAGGCCGGAAGGGACCTCCAAAGGCCATCTAGTCCGACCTCCCCGCAGTCAGCAGG